TTCCCACGTTAGGTAGTGATTTACAAAATCATTGCTCCGGCATACTACACAGTATTCTATCATGTGAATGTACCATAGTTTCTCAATTCATTCAATTGTGTTTGGACATTTGTGCTATTTCCATGTTCTTGCAATGGTGAATAATGCAGCTATGAACACTGGTGTATAAGTACCTGTTTGTGTCTCAGTTTTCATTTTCTCGGAGTATACTCCAAGGAGTGGAATAGCTGGATCATACAGAATTTCTATGTTCAGCTTTCTGAGGAAGCACCAAACTGCTTTCCAGAGTGGCTATACAGAAGAGACTGAAAATTGCACTAGAGCATCAAGAAGCCAAAACAAAGTATAGCCCTGGATGAACTCACCAGTCTGCCAAGAAATTTGGAAGACAGCTACAGAGCTGGCTGACTGGAAGAGAGGCAGACATTAAAAAAAGCTGAACACAAGATTTCAAAGGGCAGCTTGAGAAGACAAAGCAAAGTGTTATAATGTCGTGGGGTATTGTAAAAGGTATTTGTGATTAACAAATCATATAGAAAAGCTATTTAGTGTATTTGGCCTGCCTTATTGGTGAATCACTGTACAGACCTCTTGGATTTTGTACTAAATACACCATACTCTGAATATAAGTACTTTCCTTTTGAGAAACCGTTTTTTACTTGTTCTTGAGCATTAGTAGTGACCTTACACCTAACCATGGACCACGATATTACCATATAACCTGAGCAGCCATCATGAACTGGGTGTTTTCTGACTTATAGAGTCATAAAGTCAGATATGCACAGCAGCACTCCAGCATTAAATGGAACTGGAACATGAGATCAAGCTTGAGCAGGACCTAAAGGCACATGTAAATTAGATCAGGAAGTGGCCCAAAAGTCCATGATCTCCTCTCCTGCTATATTACCTCCCCTGTCGATTGACAGAGGAAGAGGAAAGGCATGCCCGGCTTATAGATGGTTCTGTACAATATGCAGGTTCCACTGGAACACAGATGGTGACAGCACTACAGTCATTTTCTAAAGGGCAGTAGGAAAAGAAATCCTCCCAGTGGACAGTGTTCTCTTGATTATGCACTTAGCTTGGAAAAAGAAATGGTCAACTGTGCACCCACATACTGATTCATTTACTATGGCCAAGGACTTGGAAGGAACATGAGTGGAAAACTAATGACAACAAAGTATTGGTAAAGATCTGTGGACAGAACTCTCTGAACGGACCAAGAAAGCAAAGACAGTTATGTGCCCTATGACTGCTCACCTGTGTGTGATCTCAGCAGCCCAGTGCCTAGGATGATGTGAAAACCAATCATTGTCCAGAGGGCTCTGGAACAAAGGGCGATGGTGGCAGGGATGGAGGTTATGTGTGGGCTTGGCAATATGGGCTTCCACTCACCAAAGTCTACTTGGCTACAGCGAATCCTGAATGCCTAATCTGCCAGCAGGAGAGACCAATATCAGGCCTCCCAACACGGAACCATTCCTTGGGGAAATCAGCCAAAAACCTGGTGGTGAGTTACTTACACTGAACTGTTTCTGTCATGAAAAGGGCAGAGGGCAGACACTTCTTTGGATATGAATTTGCCTTCTCAGTACATGATAACTGCCAACCTTCCAGACTGCCTATGTACCATCATTTTATCCTACATATCATTGTCTTGGCTCAAAAAATTCACTTCACAGCAGCTGAAATGTGGCAATGAGCCCACACTCATGGAATTCATTGGTTTTTAGCTTGCCTGAATGGATGGTCTTCTAAAGACACAATTTCAGTGCCAGCGAGGTGGCAGGGTTGAAGTAATGCGCTCCAGGGATCAGCATAAGTGCTAAATCCATACTCAATATATTGCTTTGTTTCTCCCAAAGCCTGGTTTCATAGATCTATGGATCAAAGGGTAGAGACAGTAGTGACATGACTCATTATCACCACTCACAAAATCTCTTCTTCTTGTCCCCACAAACCTATGGTCTAGGGATATAGAAGTATGTTTTGTGGGTTTTGTTTTTAATTATTTCTTATTGATATTTTAATGAAAACTTACAGAAAACTTGGATTTCCATTCATTCATTGTTGCACATTTCCTCCCTAACCACCCCCCCAAAGTTCACTTTTCTCATTAAAAAGATTCTTTCAGTGTTGTACAATTCCTCACTCACACCCCACTACAGTCCACTTTGCTATGCACCTCTTATTCTGGACTGTTGTCATGCAAATAATACCTAATTATATATTCTTCTTAAACAGTCTTTCCTTCATCTCTTTCAATGCAGTGTTCATTATTTATCACCTCTTTTCTTAGTTTCCCCCAACCCCATGTCAGTCCTATTTTATAATAGTGGTGTTTATGCAGTATTTCTCCTTTTGTGACTGAGACATTTCACTCAGCATAATGTCCTCCAGGATCACAATTTTGTATATTTTATGAGTTCCTTGTTTTTCAGTGCTGTGTAGTATGCCATTGTGTGAAGTATAAGATTTTTTCCAGGGAGAAATGTTCTCCTCTGGAGACGTAACACTTATTCCACTCAATTGGAAGTTAAGACGACTACCTGGCCACTTCAGGCTTCTCATGCCTCTGGACCAACATGCAAAGAACAAAATTACCATTATTAAATGGTATGATTGATTACCTAGGAGAAAATATGATTGAAATTATGTAATGGTGGCAAAAAAAAAATAATATATCTCAAATACAGGAGACCCTTGAGGGTATCTCTAAACATTGTCATTCTTCTGATTAAAGTTAGTAAACCTAAATCCAGTTCTGACATGACTACTAATGGCCTAGACCCTTCAGGGATGAAAGTTTGAGTCATTCCACTAAGCAAAAAATTATGACTAGGTAAGGTGTTTGCTGAAGGCAAGGAGAATACAGAATGGATGGTAGAAGGTAGTAACTAAATATCACTTATGAAGAAGTGACCAGTGGGAGAAATAAGAATTGTACCTGGTATGAACAGCTCTTCCTTGGTTTTATTATCTCTCTGTGTCTGTGTGTGTGCATGTATGTAGACTGTGATGGCTCACACCATATCTTCCAGTTTATGATCTGATATAAAAGGAGTTTACATGGGGGTATATATCCAATGTCTATATTATATATCTATCTACCTATCTATCTCCACCCATATCTATATCTATCTCTATCAACTTTCTATCAACACTCACCTGTTCTCAATCCTACATCCAACTCATCAACCTTTGACATCCCGTTCCTGGGACATGAGCCAGCAGCCCACAACCGGACCTGCCAATTTATTTTTAGTTTATCATCTCCTGTAACTACATGAGTCAGGAAAAGCTTCCGGCATGGTGCTTCATCCATGGATTTGGAATTTACAGACTTCCACAGCTAACTGAACCATTTCTTTAAACTAAATCTTCTTATAGGTGGTTGTTGTGTTGTTGTTATGTGTCATCGAATCAACAGCTCAGATCCCTGCCCTATCCTGAGTCAACCTCACAGTCTCTGACACACCTTTGCCACAGTCACTAAGTCTACCTATCTCATCAAAGGCCTTCCTCTTTTGTGCTGTCCCTCCATCCTTCCAAGCATGATGTCATTCTCCAAGGACTGGCCCCTTCAAACAACATTCCCCAAGTATGTGAGATGGAGGTTCAAAATCCTTGCCAACATACAGCAACCTATTTTCCCCTTCTCTAGGACGGACTTGTTTATTCTCTTGGCAGTACACATATATTTAACACTCTATGCAATACATAATGTGTCAGGCTGCTAACTGAAATGTTGGCTATTTTGAATATTTTGCATCAGCTGCTCCAAAGGAGAAAGATAGACAGCCTCCTTCCATAAAGATTTACAGCTTCAGAAATCTAATAGAGGGTTGCTATGAGTCAGGCTCAACCTCACAGCACTGGAGATATAGACGTACCTCCACACTTCATTTTGCTCTCCTCCATAATCCAGTCTGACTTTAAAAGATAGATTACTTGGTATTTTCTTGAACTCATGTCTCTGACACAGAGTAGAATTCATTATCAGCTAATGTCCAAGTAGCTTCCAGCTCAGTGGCTGTAGAGTTTCAGTTCCTCCTTAACTTAATAAGACAAGCAATGACCTGGAAAATCAGTCACTATGATAGTCAATACTGTACTGTTGTTCCACCTTCCAAAAGCTATGGACAAGGTGTTTGTCTTCTTCTTCAATTATGTATCTGAAAACTGAAGACAAAACACATCAATATGACTTACCAAATGTTTTGAGACTTTCATAATCTAATTACGTAAGAAGTAACAACAGTCAAACTCCAAGCCAACTTTATAGAAACAGATAGGAAATAAAGACAAATGGAAACAGGAAACAAAGGAAGGAAGAGGGAGTATGCTGTTAAACTATGGGGACTGTAATCAATGCCAGGAAATACAAGGTATATAAACTGTTGAGCAGAAAACCAATTTTTTCTGTCAGCTTTCACTCAAATCAATAATTATGATTTCTTAAATTCAGGACTTCAAGTTAATTAGTCTCAACTTGCACTGCCTATTATTTTTAGGGCAACTTTTTTGTTTCATCAGAATTGTTACAGTATAATTCCTCCCCCATCTTTTGGATGGAAAGTATTTGTAAAATCACTATAATAACTTTAATTTCTAGGCTACAAAATGTGTGAAAAATGTTTCCAGTGTTAATGGTCCTCCATCCCAATTTGTGACCTTTAAGAATGTCATTTGTCAAGAAAAAAAAGAACGTCAACTGACTCAGAGCTGAGCCTCCAGTGGGTTTCCAGAGGCGGCGGAGGAGATTGCCCACCTTTCTCCCAAGGAGCAGTTAGTGGATTCAAACCATGTGTCTTTGGGTTGGAAGTGCAACTCCTTGTCACTAAGCCACCAGAGCTCTGATTTACCTTATATACAGACAAGATTAGAGTGAAAAATATTCAAAAAAAATACTTCAGGACCAAGGTTTAATAATTCTGTACTTAAACAGTGATTTTATGTGGTATAAAGGTAAACTAACATTATAATTTAATTTGTTTATGTAAATTGACTTCAAAATATGCTTTAGCTAAAATGTATATTAAATGTACACGCATTTTGGAAGAAGTCACATAGAAGCAGCTGCTTTTTCAATAAACTGGGCCAGTTTCACATCCCTTTTGGTCAGTTCACCACAGTCATGAGAGGTGAGAGTTATCTGAACCTAAAAAAGAGAGAAAAACAATTTTTAAAACCCTTAGCCGCACACCACGTTATTATCTTTTGGTGATTCAGAAATAAATTATTTGGCATTCTTACCAGGGAACTGGGAGGTTTCATTTAGAAAATGCTACATGATGGATGTTGTTGTTTACAACAGAGTTGAACTGACTCATGGCTTACCCTACAGTTGGTTTTCAGAGACAGTAAAGCGCACAAGAGGAGACTGCCCACCCTTCTCCTACAAAGAAGCTGGTGCGTTCTTCTCCACAAAGCACCTGGTGGATTTGAACTGTGTGCTTTTGGGATTGCAGTGCAGCTTCTTACCACTAGGCCACCAGAGCTCCACATGATGAGTAAGCACTGCATTTCCAAAACCAGCAAATTCCAGGGACACAGTCTGTATCAGCCCAGCAGCCTCCCAGGGGCATAAATGTTCTCTCATATGAAGAGACAATCAGCTGCCAGAATCTAAAATCTTGTTTCTTGGGGGCAGGAGGGGAGGAGAAGGGCTGAGACCCTATTTTAACTTCCATTACTTTAACGACCCTGGGGAAATCTAGATTTTCAAACGTTGTATCTTCACTGTAACATAAAAAGGCATATTTCCAAGTTAGGAGAACAGGAACGGGGTATAACTTTTGGACACATCAGTGAAAAAGCAAACACAAAATTATAGGCAAAGAGTGGCAAGCAGGAAATAAAAGTTCATCCTGAGGGCTCTGAATTACTCCAACAAATCAATCACAAGGTTAGGAGTGAACTTTTCAAGAATACTTCCAAAAAGAAAACATCCCTATCCCCCATAAATCTGGATGATAAGATATTCTAAATGGCAAGGGCACTTTTTTCCCTTCTCACTAGACCCCCATAAAACTACTTGGTACAGTCTCTTTAATCTGTCCTTTGTCTTATGTGAGACATAATACTTTATAAATTGTTGTTCCTGTGAGGAGTCATCAAGTAGACTATGACTCATTGGGACCCTCTGAACAACACATCTGAACCCTTATATTAACAGTTATTATTTAAAGTGAGGCCTTGAAAAAAATATATTTTCATGAGATAAATAAGAATATGGCTATCTCACTTGCTACTATTTCTTTCAATAAAGAAATTAACTAATAGGTTTAAAAATTGAAAGAAATTAACTAATAGGTTTAAAAATTATCAGCATGACTGATGAGTTTGACTTGGGATATTTATCTACTCAAACTAGTTTCACAGAAGACAACCCGGAAAAGGAAGAGTTTATGCACAGTCCTCAGGAGCAGACATGAAAATGTGTAACTTGTTGTGTTGTTGTTCTTATTACTCAAAAGCAGACATGAAAATTTGTTACTAATTTGTAACAGTTCAAAGGGATTCTAAGAGAAAGGGTCTGAGAACACTGACAAGCACAATTAGATTTATTAGCACTGAGCAGGGCAAAGAAAAAAAGAAGTTTTTTCAGCTCTGTGATTAAGATGACCCCCAAATAAAACCTATTTCCTTACCTTATTGTACACATTGAACCATTCTGGGTGATGATTCATCTTCTCTGCTTGTAGGGCAACTCGGGACATGAAGCCAAACGCCTATATAACATGAAGTAAACATTAAATACTAGACCTAAGACAGCAGAGGAACTCAGCAGACAAAGATGTGGCTAGGATTCTCAAGGAAGCCTGGAGAAATCAAAGAAGAGATTGCTCTCCACGGGGCTGCGAGGATGGAGTGGCAGGACTGTGACCTGCTGTGTGATGGGGAAAAACAATCAGGCTCAAATAAACAAACCAGGAAATTGGTCTCACCCAATGACCTGTCTGGATTGTTTAATTGTCCACAGGACAGGACTCTCTAAATTAGCAAATCATTTCCCTTCAACCCAGTGCCCTGTGCCTTTCACTATCTGGCCTCAAGTCTGAGATGCTGCACTGACCCTTCTGTTTTGTTACGGGGTTGCTAACCGAAGCATCAATCTCAAGAGACTGAGAGTCTTCTGAGTGTGTCACAAGCAAAAGACCTGAGAGAAATGAACCATTTTCCAATCCCACCTCCCAACATGAAAGAAGGAAATGAAGGACTACGCTCATTTACATCTAGTTGTTGCTGTTAGCTGCCATGAAGTTGCCTTCACTTTACATCAAGCTTGCACAACAGAACAAACCACGGCACATAATCAGAGGCAGACTAGACCTCTGTGATCCACAAGGTTTTACTGGCTGATTTTGGGAAGTAGATTGCCAGGTCTTCCTATTCCACCTAAGCCTGGAGGCACCACTGAAACCTACTTAGCATCATAACACCACACATGCCTTCACTGGCAGAAGGGCGCTGACTATCAATAGAGAATGTGCTTAGCCAGGACTCAAACTCAGATCTCCAGTATGGAGGGCAAGACTTCTGTCACCAAGCCACCGTTGCCACCCTGACAGCTTGCATCAAAGAGAAACATGTGGTTTACCTGTATGGGGTCCTCCTGCCCAGTACTGCCACATCAAGGCGTCAGTGCACTTGCCTCTGGGCAGAAGACAGCTGTTGTTGTTGTTGTTGTTATGTGTCGTCGAGCGCTTGCGACTCATAGCTACCCTCTATCCTGTGCCAATTGCACTGCCTCTGACACACCCATCCCTATTACCCCAGTCACTAAATCAATCCATCTCATAGAGGGTCTTCCTCTCCTTCGCCGTCCCTCCACCATCCCAAGCATAATGTCCCTCTCCAAGGACCTGTCTCTCCTTACAACATGTCCAAAGTATGTCAGACAAAGTGCCAGAATCCTTGCCTCCAACGAGTAGCCTGGTTTAACCCTCTCCAGGAAGAATTTGTTTGTTTTCTTGGCAGTCCATGGTATATTCAATACTCTTCTCCAGCACCACAGCTCAAAGGCATCAATTCTCTTTCTATCCTCCCTAGTTATTGTCCAACTCTCTGATGCATAACAAGTGATTGCAAAGACCATGGCCTGTATCAGAAGCACCTTAGTCTCCAGAGACACACCGTTGCTCTTGAGTACTTTAGAGAGGTCCTTAACAATAGACTTTTCCATCACAATACGTTTTTTGATTTCCTGGCTGCTGGTGCCGAGAGTGTTGACCATGGAGCCGAGCAAACTAAAGCTGTGAACAATCTCAACCTCTTCACCATCCATCCCGATGCTGTCAATTGGTCCAGTGGTGCGAATCTTTGTCTTCTTGACATTGAGCCTCAGTCCATACTGAAGGTTGCAGTCCTTGACCCTTTACAGCAAGTGTGTGAGGTCCTCCTCAGTTTC